ATTTTTAATAAGAGTTAACTGATCGCGGTTGGGTGCTCCGCGGGTCTAATTAACTAATTCTGGACCTATATCCAATGCTGTAGAACATTGTGCAGATAAATATCTGCCGAATTGGGGCACTTTTGATGTTTTTAGTGGGTGGCGCAAGATTTTATTGATTTTTTCTCTACTCCGCCTCACACCCGATTCTTCGCGCAAACTGTCATGGCGGACTGGCGAGTACTTTTTTGCTTTTGCTGGCACTGCTATTTCCGATTTTTCACTTATTTTCCGCGATTCTGGAGGGGTTTGCTGGGGTTTACTCACTCAAGCGGGGCTGGGAGATAAAGTCCCGGGATACGGCGAGGACATGTTCCCGCTGGGCTTGCTGGGGGTTCATCTTGGCTTTTTTCTACGCCTCTCTACCTTCAAAGTGCACGGCAAATTTCGAGCTGCAAAAGAGGGCAAAATCAATCTTGCACTTGCGTTTGCGGTTCTATTACGAGCTACACGTACAATTTTTCAGCTACGAACAGTACTGAGCGACACACACGCAAAATTTTGGCTGCGAAGTCGGTGCGAGTACGAGGAAAAATCGCTTTTAATTTGCCAGTGGAGCTGAATCTGTTGTGACGTCACGTGCCGTCACATGACTCCCCAGGCGTTAGGGATTTCAAGGCAGTCTGGCTATTTCAGATTAATATGCTCATATGACACTCCTGCATTAATTGGAGGTTTCATTAAAGATTTGGCAGCATAATAGGGTTTAACCTGTATCGTAAAATAAATAAGAAGCCTCACTAAAGGGCGAGTTGTCAAAATAGTCTATAATATATGCTGCTGTTCTAATAAAACATCGAATTATTAAAATTGAATTGGAGTATCATTCGCCATTATAGCTATTTCTGGTATTTTATCACTAAAAATAGCTGTTTTCTTTCATTTTACAGTATATTCGACATCGATTAAGGCTTTTTTAAAGGTGGAGATATGTCGGCAAATGAGTAAAATTAACTATAAAACCTATATAATTATGTAAAAATTTAATATATAGAATTTAAGAAAGCAAAAATTGTCCTTAATTTTAAAACAAAGATGTTTTTATGATATTTCAGGGCAAAAGATGCAAAACCAGTCAGTGGTTTCCAAAAGTCATATACAAAACTTATATAAATAAATATAAATGTTTTAATTTAAAAAAATATATATATTTAGTATACATTTTTTAATTTTAATTAAATTTAGAACTTATTTTGGATTTAAATTTTGCATATATTGTCAGATATTCAATGGAGGTCACAAAAATTACTTTGACACCAGATGTTAAATGAATTTGCATTAAAAAAAATTAGGTCCAATAAAATCAACCAATTAACAAGAATTTTTAACGATAGTTTCGATTATTATATTAGGTACCTTTTTAAAATATTCGTAAAATAAAATTTTTAAAGCAAAAGCCTAGTACTCTGACGAGAAAAAACCGCTGTATAAATTTAGACAGCGGCCAAACTCCATATAAAAAAAACGGTATCGAAAAAAAAGAAGAAGAACTTTTAGACACGTCGTTTTTTTCGGTACTCTGACGACGAAAATGAAGCCTGCGAAAATTGAAAGGCGTTGCCAGATCAAGATAGTAAATAGCTGATATCGCGCTGTCTAAATAATTTATTTGATTTATTTAGACACCCCTAATGGAGGGAAAGTTGAAGGAAAAAGGTGGCATTGATAGGGGCTGTCAAGGGCAAGCCCATAATATGGAATTTAACCCACAAAGGACATTTTAATACCATATTTATTAATATTTTTAATATTTTTTTGGAATATTTGTTTACAAACAGCTGTCCAGTGTGACCAAGGAAAATCCTTAAACGCCATAAAAAGTACATTTTCATGGAATTTCCTTAATTTTTTTGGTCACACTAGCTCGGTAGCGAAATAAACAGCGAATCCGCTGTCTATTTTAGACAGCGGGTTTTTCTCGTCAGAGTACTAGGCTAAAATGTATATTTTCGTTTTAGTATTTTTAAGTATTTTTTGACAATCCCCAGATCTGGCAGCGCTGCCAGCATTGCCGCCCGGGCGCATGCAACCCTGCAAGGAGAGTGAAAGACACTAAAAAAGCCAGCACTAGGCAGGTTCATGTTAGCCAACAGCACTGTTAATTATTGGAAAGTTTTATTTTAATTAAATTACAATAGTTGTTTACACACACTCGCTACAAGGCTCCCGAAACCCGTATAATTTCGGCAAACAAACAGAGCAACGGACGGAGGAGCGAAGCAGAGCCGGAGGAGGACGAGCAACAAAGAACAGCGACCACAAAGAGGGGCCGAGAGCCAAGCAGAACCAAAACCCGTTTCATTCCACTGCTCTGCGGCTTTTCTTCTCTCTGCGTGCGCCTCTCAATAAAGGGGCGTCTCAGCTACCATAGTCGCCTAATCCGGATCCCCTGGCCACCAGTATGATGGTTGAGTCCGACGGCACCGCCGAGGCCACCCGCCGTCTCAACGTGAAGAAGCAGACCCTGGACGACGCCTATGCGGTGCCCGCAAACTTCCTGGAGATCGACGTGGTCAATCCGCTGACCACCATGGCGGCGGGCAAGAAGCGCTACACGGACTACGAAGTGCGAATGCGGGTGAGTGAACTGCCAAGTGGCGCTGGCTGCAACTGCTGAATTGCACAAACCTCCGAAAAAGTGGCAAAAACTCGGTTGATAACCGCTGGAATTCACATGTACAAGGGCGACTTTGTCTCCGCAGCATGGCTGTGTGTGTGTGCAAGCGATGCGCTGGTGTGCGGGCGATACGCCTATAAAGCGAGCCGATAAACATTAGTCACAAGTGCAGCGCAGTGATTTTCGGACTTGAGTCACGGTCGCCGCTCGTCGTCCGTTCCGTTTCCGGCCTCATGCGGGTGTCAATTAACCAATAATCCATTTGTATTTGTATCTACATTCCAGACCAATCTGCCCGTGTTTAAGGTGAAGGAGTCCACCGTCAGACGACGCTACAGCGACTTTGAGTGGCTTAGGAATGAGCTGGAGCGGGATAGCAAGGTGAGAGTGATAGGAGACTATTATAATTATAAAGCTATGTTGGATGTCGGGATTACTAACACTATCAAAGCTGAACGCTGAATATTTGGGTATATTGGAGGAACTTCACTCATAGGATACCCTTGAGAGTTGCTTGGGTATTGGGACTGTGAAATCCCTTGGGTTTATTTTAAATATTGTGCAGGTCACAGTTTTGAGGGTAAATTGCCAGTCATTCAATAAACACTAATGGGAATTTAATGTTTTCATTTTATTATGGAACTCTCTGGAGAATTCGATGATTTATCGAATTTCCCACCGTATGCTGTTCAGGAATTGCAATAGCCCTAGGGATTTTCGAACAGTTTTGACCTAAAATATGTAAAAAATTGTGCAGTTTAAAGAGCTTTGATTACCTCTAGAAGTTGTAAGCCTAATTCTGGGATTTTGGGTCATTTTAGGACACTCTTTAATTGAATTCCATCTAAGAAATCACTGAAACCCATTCCCACAAGATTAAACTTAGTCCAGATCAAATGACTAACTATCTATTTGCATATTAAGACCTTTAAACTCGTGCAAAACCACCATTTAACCCAATTATAATATCTACAGATTGTGGTGCCGCCACTACCCGGCAAGGCCTGGAAACGACAGATGCCCTTCCGCGGCGACGAGGGCATCTTCGACGAGAGCTTCATCGAGGAGCGACGCAAGGGACTGGAGGCGTTCATCAACAAGATAGCCGGACATCCGCTGGCGCAGAACGAGCGCTGCCTGCACATGTTCCTGCAGGAGAATGTCATCGACAAGAACTACGTGCCCGGCAAGATCCGCAACACATAAGGCGGGCCAAGAATCTAACCATAGCAATGCAATGAAGCAAAAACAACTCGAACGAACAAACCCGCTACGAAATCTTTAGGGAATCCGTGTGTATGTGTGTGTGTCCGCTTGACGAGATCGGAGGGAGGCGATGTGGCGCGAGGAGGGAGGCGATGGAGAAGGAATCTGTTTATTTTTCGACGCGATAAGAGGGCGGATGTGCTGCTGCTCAGTTAATGTTGAGAGCCCCCCTCTCACCCCCCGCGGGGACTAGTTAAAGCCAGAGCATTGGGAATTTTTAATGCTAAATTCAAGTTTATATGGTATACATTACAATATACATGCATATATATATATATTATATACAATACAATATATTTACGAATAGTGTACATAATAATACATGCCTCCCGCGTCTCGACTCGCAAGAAGCAGCCCCTGTCCCTCATCCTCGGCTTCCCGACGATCCACTCAGTTTCTTTCTCCTTTTGGCCCTTTGCAGCAGTAAGGAAGCAGCAAATAAATTAGGGAGCTATCCTAAACCCGAAAATCCGATCCCTGAAACGTGTATGCTAATTATTGAATATTTTGAAAAAGTTTAGTGAATAATATTGTACTTCGAATCAAATTAAAATAATTCAAAAATAAGTGATTGCCGGCTTTGTTTATTTTTTCGTATATTTGAAAACTACGAAACTGGAAAAATCATATTATGGGATTGATCATCACAAATGCATATAAAAATAAAAATAAGCTTCCAGAAATTTATTTGCATTTAATTATTATTCGAAAATTTAAAATTACATCAATTTTCCTTATTTAATTTATATTAAATCGTTTTAGTTTTTCATATATTTGAACATTTTAATTTTCCGTTAACAATGTTCAGGGAAACTGGTCACACTTAAATACCGAATAACAGGTGCTGCCAGACACTAAATGAAATTATCACTTTCTTAGTAATTTTCCGGGTATGAACACCATTAAACTGGGAGATAACACCTGAAAGACATGAGGAAAAGTTCTATTTTCCGCGGAAAACCCTCAGAATCAGCATGAAATTGACGTTAATTTTCCTTCAGCTGTTCTAAAATCGATAAGTCAACCAGCTGATCGACAATCTGGCAGCACCACACCCCCAATCAGAACAATCGAGTTTGCTGAAATCCTTATCGTTTATCGTTTGGTTGTGGCAATCGGAGTTGGTTTTTTGTTTTTTATTTGTTTTTGGAATGGACTCGGCGGATTCCCCCACCAAAACGCAGGCCGGCGAGGACGAGAACTACAGCCTGCTGTGCCAGGCGCACGAGGAGTTCAACAAGTGAGTCTGCCGCCCGCAACAGCCTATTTTCTGAATCACACCCATTCATTGCGTTCCAGCTCGGAGTTCGACCGCTGTTTGGAGCTGCTGCAGGAGCTGGAGACTCGCGGCGAGAGCAGCGGACCCGTTCTGCGCCACAACCGGGCTGTGGTCAGTTACCACAAGGGCGGATGCACCCAGCACGCTGCTCTGATGAAGGAACTGGAGGCACTCACCGCCGACGCGGATACATCTCCGGGAGAGGCGTCCAGCGGTCTGACCCTCAAGCAAGGCGCCGCAGCTGCCACAGTGGCACGCTATAACCGGGCGGTCATCTACTATCACCGTCACATGTACGGCACGGCGCTGGAGAAGCTGGCTCCGCTGGTGGCACGCCTTGAGGCGCTCGAGAAATCAATGGCGGCGCTGGTGGCCACGCTACAACTGCAGCTTCTGCTGGCCACCAATCAGCTAAACCGTGCCGAGGCCTTCCTTGACTACTTGCAGTACAAGCTCAACCTGGTGGCCACGGCGCCTAGCAGCACCCCAGGCGAGGATGCTGCTGCCGGCACAGGCTCTCCACCCGCAGCCACTCCCAGCACGGTGGTGGCCACGCCTGCAGGAACAGCTGTGGAAGGTTCTGTGCCCGGCTTGGGTGGCAGTTTGCAGCTACTGCAGCTGCTCACACTTGTGCTGAATCGCAAGCCCGTGGTCATCCAGGAAGACGGAACGCCGGAGTACGCTGCCCTGAAGGCTCAGCAGTATTACATCATGAAGGACTTCCAGATGGCCGCCAAGCAGCTGATGCGCATCAACAATGAGTGCACCCAGGCCGGGTATGTTGTAACCATTGGTAGTTTCTGGGTTTCTATGACGGTAAACTTATGCTTTTCAGTACTGTAACCCCCCAGCTGAGCACCTGCATTGCCAACAACATGGGCGTGATCCACCTGAGAGTACGCCATTATGCCATAGCCGCCCAGTTCTTCCAAAATGCGCTCAATTTCGACCAGCAGCTGGCCAAGAATCTGCGCCAGAGCACGCTCCAGACAATGAGTTCGGCGCGTTCGTGTGAAATTCTCTACAACCTGGGCGTGGCAATGCTGCATCTGCGCCGTCCCAAGGAGGCCTTCCAGTGCTTCCTGGTGCCCGTCAAGCAGTTCCACAGAAATCCTCGACTCTGGTTGCGCATGTCCGAGGCCTGCATCATGGAGCACGAGGCGGTTAGTTTGGAAATTCTTTCAAAATTCAGTTCATTATATATTTTTCTTCCTGCAGAAACTAGTGGAGGAGGACCGTCAGTCGCAGGCGGGAGGTGCAGGTCCAGCTTCAGCCAAATCATATGCGTAAGTTAATAAAAAATCTTTAAAACGTAACTTGATATAAACTTTGATAACCTTTTTAGCGCCCAATCCGCTGGAGTGCCGGAGCCCACTCTGGAATTCGCCGCTTTGTGCTTGCGCAGCGCCTTGACCCTCACGCTGCACTACAAGGCCAGCTTTCACATGGCAGCAGTCTCTCCGGAAGATGTAGACGCGCCCGATCCAAAGGATCCGACTCAGGAGTCCTGGCGCCAGCCCCAGGACAACAATTTTTGCAATCCGTCCAAGCCGGTCAGTCTGGAGTCGCTCGAGAACATGCTGGCCGCCATCTATGCGGCCCACAGCTTTGTCTCCCTGCGCCTGGGTGACCATGTAACGGCCCTGGAAATGGCCGAAAAACTGCTGGCCTGCGAACGTCTCTCCGATGCTCACAAGTAAGTACAAGCTTCTTCTTTCACATTCAAAAGATTACCTATCAATCGCTTCTAGATTGCTGGGTCACATGTACGCCGGCGAAGCGTTGATGCTGATGGACAAGGCATCCGATGCCCGCGACCATCTGGATCCTACTTTTGTGGGCACGCTAAATGCCTATGATCTGGAGACGCGCGACTGGCAGCTCAAGTCCGTGGACGCAGCCCAGAACGTGGTCCGCTACAATCTGGCCGTGGCCATGGCCGTGCAAAACGACCTGTCACAAGCGAAAACGCTTCTGGCCAGCCTGAACCACTCGCTGGTTGCCGGCAAGGCGTTGGCCCTGCGTCGCTTCATAGACCTCAAGATGGGGCCCGTCGTTGGCGGGGCGCCTGTTTAGACAACAAATTGTGTACATAACTAGACGGAATCAAACTGGAAATTTGAATGTGGATTTGTAAATATAGTGAAATGATTGACCGACGTACAAATTGGGTTCCTTCTATTACAAGCGTCATTCAGGGCTTCAAGAAAGCTTCTTCAATTCCTCAATTATTTTAAGTCTGGTTCCCCTTTTACTCTAAGCTATAAATTATTTATTCTTTAATCAGTACATACTTATATCCCGAGTTGATTTAGCCGCATCAACCGCAGATTTAGTTTCGTAATTCTACAATTTGTTTTTGGCACTAGTGGTAGTTCTGGCTGTGATCTGTGATCCCCGATCCCTGATCCCTTCTCAGCGTCGCCTTTGTTCGTAGCGATTCATGGAGAGCACAATGTTGTCAAAGATGTACTCCCTTACACCCAGGCCGCAGATGAAGTCAAAGTGATTCCAGCGCTTCCAGGGAACCTTGTAGGCGGCCTCCACGTTTGGCAACCTGGTGAGCAGTCGCCAGATGTCTGCTGGAGCCACTATGTAGTCGTTCTCCGAGAAGAACACCGTCACCGGCGTGGTCACATTCTCCAGCACGTACTCCGGCGGCTCCAGCTGCTGATAGTGGAGCCAATTGCGCTCTGGGCCGTAGTCATACTGCCGGAAGTGCGTGGACACGTAGCCCTGGAAGTAGTGCATCAGCTGCTTGACCGATCCGCCTGCGGGAAAGTTGGCCATCAGGTCGGGCAACAGGGTCTTGTTGAGGAACCTGGTGTCATAGCCCACAGCAGGCCACAAACGGCTGATGCAGACCAGCGGCTTTTCGTTCTCCAGGCAGGTCATCGAGAGGAACTTCTTGAAGAACTTATTCGTGGAGAACATCTCCACGCCCTCGAGCATCTTGGAGACATAGTTGCGAGTGCCCAGAACAGGGCCGATGATTTTGGCAAGACCGCTCTTCGTGTTGCTCACATAGGCCACCGGCGCAAGCAGGGTGGCACTCTTGAAGACGGCATTGTACTGTGGCAGCATGGAGTTCATCACCAGGAAGACGGTGCCGCCCTGCGAGATGCCCACAAAATGGATGGCCCGCTGTCCTGTGCTCCGCAGGACATAGTCCACCTGGGCGGGCATGTCATAGACACCCATCTCGTGCCAGCTAAAGTCCCAGAACTCGCGCTCCGTAGTGTTGCGCCACAGGTTCTTTCGGCAGTAGATGTTGCCCCGGTTGTTGCCCAGCCACACGTCGTAGCCAGCCCGCCAGAGAAGGTAGGCCAGGGAGTCCTCGCGACCATTGAGGAGCCAACTGGAAACAAAAATATTTAGATCTCTCATATTAAAAATATGGATAAATATCCGCTCTTCTTAAAGGGTATTATGATTTTATTTAGTGAAGCATACATTTCCGACCCCATAAACCATATATATTCTTGATCAGCATCAACAGGCGAGTCTTTCTAGCCTTGTTGGAACGAAAAACAAAATTTTGAAATTTTTTCAAAATTTGATAAGGGGTTACATCGTTAAAATGTTCAAAAATTGAAAAAAAATTTTGATTGCTCAAAAACTAAAATTAAGAATGCAGATTTGTTAACCCAGAAAAAACTGTCACAGAAAAGCTTTCCGAATTGAAATGAATGCATTTTTGGCTTAGTTATGATCGATTTTGGATTTGATGTCATGATCCTTTGGCAAACGGCAAGGATATACAAATTACGGCTTTTCAAAGTAAGTTTCCTTGCTTGTTTAAAATTTCTTCAATAATTTATTTTATACATTCAATAATATTTTGAGTCCATCATAAAATAAATATTAAAAAATCATAATAATTACAATAGTAATCTATTATCTAATTTAAATCACTTTAAAATCTCCAGATTTCCATAATAAATGCAATAAAATTAAACAATTAAGTGTTATCCATTCATAAGCTACTACTATTCATTCATTCACTAGAATCCAAGATAATTGCAGGACAGATACAAAATAAATAAAAGTTTTCCCTCACTCTAAGGCAAAATATAATGATAAGTCAGCTCTTGACAACACAGATATGACGCTGTATTTGTTTGTTTTCTCTATGTTCCTGCGTATCTGCCGCCAAGCGGAAGTATCTATTGGCAAAGTATCTATTAGCATACGTACACATCCGAGGAAGCGTAAAGCCCGGAGAGCAGGAAGACAGCAGGCCGCCGGAGTAGGCTGCCCCGCTCGGGATCCACCTGCGGAATGCGGTGCAGAGTCAACACATATCCGTCCTTGGTCGTCACCGAGTGGCGCTCCACATTGTAGCCATCGTTCTGGATGCGCCGCACCTGCAAGGGACACGGATACAGGTAACAGGTAACAGGTTGTGATACAGCAAGTGGAGGCAGGAAGCGAAGGCAGCCGGAGGCGGGCCAAAATCCGAAATGCAAACACAAATTGTTGGCACATTTATCGCTTGACATTTGGAGGCCACGCGACGCGTGCGTTGTGACACTCTGGGTAATTAGGCATTCCGCACCCGCACCTGCGGCTGCTCTGGGGTTTACCTTTTCCTCCTTCCACTCCCGCTTTGGAACCTTTTGGAACACCTACCGCATCTGTGATGATGATTTCGCGCGGCTGACGCACTGTGGCCATGCTGGTGGCCACCTGTTGCAGTGCAATCAGCGCCAGTGGCAGCAGCAGCGGAACACGTCGCTCCCGTCGCATGCTGACCAGGATTAGGGGCCGGTAATGGTTACATGAACTGGGATTAAGTAACTGGGTAACCGATCAGAAGCCGAACCGGTCCGAAAACGAAAACGAAAGCTGCCCAAGGATCGGCAGAAAGACAGCAGCACTTTCTTTCCAGAGAGCTCGGTCGCGCCGAGCTTTCAAAAAACGCCGAAACTGAAACTGAAAATGAAACTGAAACCCAACCGAAACCGAGTCGTATGAATGAATATGAATGGAGACTGCAATCGAGGCGGCGGTACCGCTAGCGTTCGATTCGAATGTGCTTTATCGACTGCGCATGCGTCTGGGGCTCGCAGGGCTTGCCACTCGCGCGCCGGCGGAGCAGCAGCTCTGTTCGGCAGAGGAGCGGGCAGAGCTTGAGCCCCGACCGGGTGAGCCAGCCACCTGCACGGCATGCCAGCCAGCCGACGCGCTCTTAGCCAGACTTGGGCCCTGGCCAGAGCGTCGCTTCTGCCTCTGTGTCTGCCTTTTGCCGGCAGCATACACTGCGCATAATATCAATTGCCGGCGCCCCCGCCTCCACTAAATTCCCTAACTGCTCCTCCTTCTCCGCGTGCTACCCCCAAAAATCCAATCAGTTGGCACGCTGCCACGGCAATTTGAGCAATTATAACAGCTTAGCGAAAGAGAGAACGCTCAACGGCATCCAAAAAAAACTGTCAACGCCGCTTACAGTGGGCGGCATCGCAGAAACAACCTTAAGATTGAGATTAAATTCGTAAGAAGAAAGTGAAATTGACCTTGTCTCTTATAAAAAATTAAAGTAATACATCAATTTTTTAATTAAAATTATATTGTTATATCAACTTTATAAAATCTCTACAAATAAAATTTGCAAGATCAAGATTAAAGTAAAAGCTAAGTCGTTCAAACCATCTTAATTTTAAATTAAGTTTATTGAAAGAAGGTGAAATTTACTTTGTGTCTTAAAATAAATTAACAAATATTTATCATATATCTTATATAATTTAAACTATTATCTTAAAATAGAATCTATTAAGACTAAAAATGTTATTATTATATTCTTCTACACTATAAAGAGTCTTACAAACCTCTTTAGAATATGATTAAATTGACCTTGTCTTTCTAACATTTATTTTTAAGCTTCTCTTATTATTTGCTTAAAATAAAACATAAAATTTAATGAATTAATTGGTAATTTCGTTTAATCTTGTAGTGTGGGCGGTGACGCAGAAATAATTCCAAGATGGGATTAAATCTTTAAGTGACCTTGCTCGTGTGCGTTATTGAAGGAAGCTTAATCTACATATATAAAGAAATATATAAAATAAGTCTAAGATTCAAGTTTCAATTATCAGATATTTCTTTAAAGACTGCACCATATTTCATAAGTAATTTAATATTTAAACAAGTCTTTCTCAAGACCAACTCTCCCAAGAAAGTGATTCATTATGCCGCATTTCTCATGACTTGACACCTCATAGCTTTGAAATCTGTTCAATCCGATAGAATTTGTGAGATAAAACTTGGCTTTCCCATTCAGAGCACATCGAACTCAGAGATAAAGAGAGATAAATACACCCAATAAGCCCAACAATGTGAACAATTACCGAGCCGTTAAATGTTATGCACATCACATACAAGGCATTCATAAGACACAATTGCTTTTTGAGCAGTGTATTAATTTTTTTGGAGCTACTTACTTAAAGTTTTTTTTTGTATTTTTTTATTTGGCTCTGTCGTGTGGCTGTTGCTTTTGGTTTTTCGGTTTTTCGTCGCATTGTTGTCGTCGGGGGGGCCGCCGTCGTTGTTTTTTTTTTTCGCTGAATTGCAATAACCTGTTGCCTAATGAAAACGGCGTCTGCTTATTTAGGATGTGGCCGGGCCAAGTACTTGCCAACATACCTACTTGCCAACATATCCGTACCCGTACCCGTACCTTTACCTATACCCCCCGGGCTACCTATGGACGTGGTCGTCTCCTCTGGTGTTTATGTTTACTCACTTGAAAAACAATCGACGGCAGTGCTCCCCCCTCCGTCCAGCTAACCGCTCTCACAATTCATTCAGTGGAGCGATGGAGAGCTTTCTGTTTGTTTATATGGCTTTTTAATAGCTCGTCAACAGCTGCATGTGCCAGGGGTTGAACTCATAGCCACTGCTGTGCACACGGCTGCTCTTCGAGCGTTTCATCAATGGACGCTGGCTGGACCGCTCCACTGGCCCACTGGCGGCATTGACCCACCACCGGCAGCACTAGCGGCGGTCTACCGGACTCACGTACAGCACGAAGACGATGGAGACATGGAACTAGTGCACAGCGATGGGTAGTGAGCAGGTAAGTTTACTTGGCTGCATGCCAATGTATTTCTTATCAGCATTTTTACAGTCTTATCTAAACAGTAAAGTGATGGATTGCGGTTTATTTTAATAAAAAAACAACCTTTATAATTGTCGACACCCAACAGGAATTTATAAAAATATTTTATTTATATTTGGTATAAGAATTTCTTATATCTTATCTATGTAAAATCGGGGGTTTACCCTTTAACTCCTTCGATTTTTATTTGAAGAAGGGCATGCATTGTTAGTCTTATCTTTTCTGTTTGAATGTTATTTGATTTTAATGGGTGTTTAGTTAACTAGAGGTATAAATTTATAAATTAAACCCAATAAATCGAGACTCGACTATATGTGAGATTATAAACAGTGCAGCAAAGGTTATACATCTGCTTCGATTCCACGAAGAATTCTTATCAGTGTATTTCTTAAAAGATTTTCTACATGGCCTTGGTTACATACCAGCGTGTTTCCTGATTAAGACTTGGGAATTTCAGTTACACTAGACCTTAAAATATATTTTGTACCCCACCTTGTCGTATCTTCCCCATCCCTACCACTCTAATAGTTAAAGGTAAAACCCAAGGCAACTTACCTATGTACACATGATTATGGCTCACAGCTCAAATGCCCATTTGTTTGGCGTTAAAACAGTTTACGCTAATTCCTATTGTGACACATACGACAGTGTTTGACGCGGCGGATCAAGTAAACTCTGTGGTTAACTGGTTTCGACAATTAAACGTTGAGCATTTTTTAGCAGTTTCGGGGTATTTCGGGCTATGAAAACGGGACAGGGTCTGGGGGCAGAGTCTGGGGACAGGGTCCGGGGCCAAGCCTCCACCTTGTTTGGCTTTCTTTCACTTTCTGCTAATGGATTCTATGTAATTGAGGGCCTTCAGCTAACACACACTCCATGTCGCACTCCATTGCCAAATATGTTTGTTTGCTTACTTCCTCGGTGAGAGAGTGCTGTAATCAAAGGGTATAAGTTATTATATAAACACGGGTATGGATAACAATCGGTAATTATACGATGAGTTCATATTTCATTTATCTAAGTGAGATGTTTATTGCCCTTTTTTACTTGTGTCTCAAACCGTAACCAACGGATACTGTTACCCGATATTAACCGATTCAATTTCATAATATTGCGAGGGGGGAAAACGCTTTTAGAAATCTGCATATAAAGTAGGCAGGTGTTTTTATATAGTTAATATTCATCTTTCTTATTTGGGGTTTATATCATTATTTTTATCACACATTTTAATTTTAATTTTTTAAAGGGTATACAGATTTCTTTCATTTAAAAGCAAAATACCCATCTGCTCGCTTTCTTTGACCGTTGGAGTCACTCACCGTTGACAGTTGCGTGGCGTGAACTTTGTATTGAACTTGAAACTCTGATACTCCAGCTGGACAAGATCTGCATTATGCATAAGATGGCTTGACTGGCGGTCACAAATCAAAGGCTGTTTAGCTTTTCCGCCGAACAATGAGCTGACATTTCACTTTGAGTGCTGCTGCTCTGCTTTCTGATATGCATTCGGTTGCATTTTCTTTTCTTTCTTTATTTTGTTTCGTATTTCGATTTAATTTTTTTTTGCTTCTCCTTACCCGGTCCTCTGTGGAATTGCCCTCTGGTTTCCGGTCCCATCGGGGTTTTTATCTGAACCAATAAGGGCGCTTATCGTCAATTCGCTGCCATCCGCGATGTCGTCTTTGGGTCATAAATCGAAAGTGATTGAGGTCTGCACAGTGAAAAGTTGTGAAGAAGAAAAACAAGATAAAATATACCCTTTCTAAAAAATGTATGCTTAATTTAACAGATTTTTTTTTTTACTTGAAATGAAAGCTTCAGAAACTTTGTTTGTTTATAAGTCAAAGCTACAAACCATTCGACTCTTTTTATTTTGTCTATAACCTCATAAGGGAGCACCATATACGTCTTCCTTCTTAAAGAATATTTAACCCCTCCTTTAAACTACTTATAAATTTCATCTTCCTACCCATTTTTCCCCGTGTAGGGAAAGGTGACTAACGCTGACTGTCACCAAACGTCGCTGCTTTATGATGGGCTTGATGATTAAGATAAGCCATCCGCCGGGTCAGTGTGCTAATCCGCCGCTAATTGTTTCTTGATGCGTTTGTAACCAACTTCCTAACCAGGCGCAGGCCAGGCAAACCCACAACCGTCACAGACTCCCCAGACAGCCGGCCTTGGCCAGGAGGCGGCGTCCCCTGTCTACCTGGACGAGTCGCTAATTACCCGACTCGGGACCAGGCTCGCTCCTGCCTGACTTGTGTTCAGTATTTACAACTCCCCGGCTCGTTGGTCGTAAAACGCAAATAGCCACAAATAAAACTGAGAAACTGAAAGCAAAATCACAATAACAAAAAGCCGCCTTCCCGCGTCTGCGACGACAACAAAAGGAACCAATGCTGAGAGGCATCGGCATCGGCATCGGGAGGAAGTGCCGACGTTTCGTCATGACTAAGCGTGGTTACTCAAAGGGAAACCAATTGATTCCTTCCTGTTGCCGTCCACTGTCCACTTTCCTGGGTCTACGTTGAATCTACCGCAGAGCCACGACTGCAATAACAAAATCTAAATATTTAACGACTAAATTGAAACTGAAGGCGCACGGTCGCTCACTCACTCACTCACATCAGGCAAATAATTTTCCAGGCCCAACTTGGTCAGGCTGGCTGAGGTTAGCCTGCTGGCATAATCAATAAAAGATAAACAGTGGGCCGAGCGACTCTACAAGCCCATTGAAATGGCTACATCACGTAATGGAAAACTTTACAGGGAAATCCCACACAGAAAATTGAGAAAAACCTCCAAGCAACTGCCACACACTACTATATAGCAAGTGCCACTTTGCACAGAGAAAAAGGAAGGAATTGATGATGGGTGGGATATATTATCAAGATTCGATATCTAAAAGAAAAATATTGGGGATCTTAAAGAGCTTTTCTAGCTATAATAAATGGGATAGCTAACCAACTTATATTTTATTTATTACTTAAAATACCTTTTCAAGCAGAGAAAGTTTAATTTACTTATTATTTAAGTATTTAAAATATAATGAAATATTCATATACAATTAGAACCTTTAAATACTCCTTTTGGCTGTGTGTATTCCCCATGTGTGAGTACCATTTCGAGTAGGTAAGCCTCTGTGGTCGATGTCGTTGTCAACGGTACGTACGGAGAAGTTTGGGCATTCTGTCAGCCCGCAAGTAGTTGGTCTTTCGAACAGACCATCAGCCATTCAGTCACAGACGGGAAAGACCCCCGTGGACGGACCCCGATGCCCACAGATGCTGGAGGGGCACTCCGACGTTGCCTCTACTGCTGGTGCATCCATTTGGATTGGACTGGCTCAGGCGAAACAAATCATTCACAAACAAACACTCAAGTTGCTGAAAATTGATTCGAGGCAGCTGTCATTGGGGGAATTACCTAGGCAACCAAGGAAAGCGCTAATTCGCCAGAAGAGTAATTGAGTTTTCAGCTGGCTTTAAATTTTTTATTATATTTAAATACCTATTACATATGATATCAAATATTTGGTTAGCCTCCGCCTTCTGGGCGCTTATTGTTCTTTGCTCTCTTTTGTATTGGGAGGCTCTTGTGTTGAACCAAATAAACAAGTAAGAAAGGGGATCAACTAGAGGGGTTGGGGCAGGGGCAGAGGTGCCCTAGGTAGATCCCGGCCCGGCCGAGTGACCGGCGTGAAGAGGTGGAAAGAACGCCTGCGAGCGAATTGGCTGCTGCCTGGCGCACAATGAGGGCTCGATGTCGATGACGACGATGACGATGTGGCTGCCACAGCCAAGCCAAAATGTTGGTGTGCCTTGCTTGAGTTTCCTATGGTATTTTATATGTGTTTGTGTTTGGCTTTGCTTTGGTTTGGGGGCCGGCGCTTGGCACTTACACTTATCAGAGGACCAACACATAGAGTTCCGCCAGCCCACTGACTACTTTGGCCGCAGAAGCCGCCTGCTGCCAGGCCCTATTATTACCCCAAAGCAAATAAAGTCAGGCACTGCAACATTGAATCAAAGCACTGAGGAAAAAAGGGTGTGAGAAATATTTAGAAACTGCAAGAAAATACAAGAAATTTCATTTTGAATAAAATATGAAATTTTAAATGAAATACATACATTTTTCCTAAAGATTCTTTTAAATCTCAAGAGTTTATACAACTTTAAGATACATTTTACTTGAGAATCGTAAACTTTTAAGCCTAAATTATTGAAAATATTCTAATATATTACTATAATATAGAAATCTCTCTCCATATAGTAATTGATAATAATATTTTAACTTATAAGATTTTCTTTCCTTAGCTTTCAATATTAGAAATCTTTAATATTCAACCTACAAGAGATCAACTTTATTTTCTTCAAGTTAATACACTTTTCCCCTCAGTGCAGGTAGGTAAAGGCAGAGGCAGCTGGAGAGGGAAAGATGCATTAGGGGCCGGGGCAGGCAGCGACGTCGTCATCGATATACGAGCTCGGCACATGCATTGCCTCGCCTTGCCTTGACTGCTGCTTGGCCTGCCTGCTGCCTGCCCCAGCGGCAACATGGACGGCAACAGCGACGTCGACAGCAACAAGACTCACACACAAAATTCCAGAGCGCACGCGTTCTCAACTTTAGTTCTTAGCGAGAGGCCAACGCGTTCGGTCGTCTTCGGTGCGTGGTCTTTAACACAAAAAGCAGCTGGAATCGAAGTTATTCGAAAACCCATCCACATCAACATCAACAACAGCGGCAGCAGCTGAAACTGAAACTCTTCAGAACAATTGCAGCTGCAGAGGTATCTGTAACGCAGTATCTGTGCGCATCGCGTGTATCTTTGTATCGCAGTATCTTAGTATCTCAGTATCTTTGTATCTACGTATCTGTGTGTGCTGTGTGCTTGTGCCCGTGCGTGTTGGCCAAACTGGAAGCGACAACCTAATCAATCAGTCACTCAATATGGCCATTTCTAAGAGCCGCCGCGGCAGCTGCTCCTCCTCAAGGAACACAAACAGGCTGCTGCCACCCAGCCCTCTGGATCTTCACCTGGGACGTCTGCTTTTCCTGGCTCTGCTGGCTTCGTGCTCGGCTCTGGCAAGTGAGTATATTCCAGACTCGGCTCCATCATCCTCATCCTCATCATCATCATCATCATTATCAGCATCTCGTGATTGTCGTCGTAATCACTTGTAGTTGCGGTCGCATCAGGCCTTTGACTTATATATCTGCCGTTGGAGAGGAGACTCTTCTTCGGCTTTGGCTCTGGGTTTATTGCAATTTTCCTCGTTTGCCAGCGATTTGCGATTTTTGCGATATTGCCTGGCATAATTCAAAGCGTTCGTTCGCTGCTGTATGAGCGTAATTATGCCACTGCCGCGGAAGAGGCGACACCGAAACCGCAGTCCCTTCTTGTATCTCTCCACTCATGCTACATGGAAACGGTGGCACTTGGGTGTCAGATAAATGGCCCCAGCGGCACATGCAACTCCAGCTTAGGCTCCCCAGCAGCGTGCGAAAGTTCAATAATGTTTGGTAACAGGCCAATTGAGGCGGTCACCACAGTTCAAGTTGTGCGATAAACCCAAGATAGCCACCGCTATCATCCAGAGGGATTGTGGTTTTCCAGAATGTGGGAGAGTCTCAAAAGTGGCAGCTATCGCCAGCGGGGTGAACAAACCCATATCAGTATATTAAATTAGTAACGGACCCCGGCAAAGGATCATTGATCATCTGGTGGCGTGTGTTGCCCCTGTGTTGAACATGTAATTTCCCTCACCTAAACATGCATTTTGGGATCGAAAAACATAATTTCTAACGCACATAATACCATCCCATTCCCATTCTTAGTCTCGAATAAAAAGAGGGACTGACAGATGACACTGGCCTGGTTTGGACCTCGGCCACTGCCACTGCAAGCTGCGTGGCCAAACGCACTAGGAAAAAGAAGGAAAAATCGATTTTCTTTTTGTTTTATTTTCTCTAAACTCCAAATGCCATTTTCCTCATTTGGCTGCCGCTTTGTTTTCATTTCGTGCGGCATGCTTTGTCCCATTTTAAGACCCTAAGACAGACTCTCGGACGCTTGTCATTCGTTCCCAAGGGATTGGGACTGTGAATAGGAATAGGAATAGGAATAGAAATGGGCATGGACCGCCCATGCATATCTCAGGCAGGGCATCTAATAATTCTGCCTTTCCAAGAATCGAGTTGCATCCCAGGCAAGGGGCTGCAGTGGATATCTCCTCATAAATAAGCCAGCTACTTTATAGGCATAGAATGCGACAGGCTGGGCGGGTTGGGTTGCTCGGCCTGGTCTCGTTGCTTTGTTTATTTGGTTACTAATTTGGGATTCCTCGATTGCTGGTGTGTTTGGTGTGTGTGTGTCCGGAATTTTAATCACTTGGCGGCATTTTGAGTAATGGGCGCGGGCGGACGTCCCGGAATTGAGAATTCGGGTTCCCGAAAAATGGGACCCCGTTTGTGAATGAATGTGTGAGAAAGTGCCTAGTGCCTCCGATGACAGCAGTGATATGAATGGGCCATATCGGAGTCCGCCGTATCGATGCGGCTTGCCGACGGATTGAGTGTCTATCGGAGACGGACGACGCCCATAAAGAACCCATCCAATAGGCCTAATGGCAGTCGTGTGGAATATGGCTCTCATATTGGTTTATAAGTGCGTTAAGGGGGAAGTTTATCAACGTAACGGGTCGGCGACTATTAACATCGTTCGAAAATACATTTGATTAATTTTTGTTTTTAAATGCATTTTTCATATTTTTTGGGGGAAAGTTTTGTAGAAGAAGTTCCTTCTAATTTGGGTTGGGTACTTGAAAGGGCGTGATCTTAATTTTGTGTGTTTTTATTTGTGGAGAAAGCGGAGCGCATATGTTATTATGGGATATTATCAAGAATAGTTTAAATATATTTAGAAGAAATTAATTTCAAAGAACTATTAGGAGGCAGAATGAGTCACTTTTATATTTTAAAGTGTATTTTAAATGAATTACCATGCGAGTCGATTTACCAATGACTTTTAGTTATCTAGAAGAGATACAGTTTCCAAATTCGGATTGTTAGCAGATGATAAAGAACACCCTCAAGATCAATTTTTTACGTCAATTTTTGAATAAAGTATTTGAATATAGGTTTCTAAATAAATAAGGAGCTCTACAACATTGATATATAATTATTTTCTAACATGTTTCTAGCTACTTTTGTAAGCCAAAATAACACATTAAGCTTTTATAAATGTAAATTTTCATTTATTTTCAATTATGTCTTGTATTAAGGAATTCTTAAAAAATGTTTCATGGCTAAGTCTAATCAAGAAATACAGGGTAAACCATAATCGAGCATTTGTAGATAATATTATACATTTTACAAATTTGTATTTTACATATATGTACGTAAAATCTTTAATTTTACTTCATGTCGGAAATATACATTTTTACATGTGGTTCGGTTTGTGAATTAGCTGCCTTTTTGTGTCTTTCTTTATGGTACTTTAAATACTTTTACAATTTTGCAGTGTAATTTTTAATCTATAACCAAATCTAAATTTGAAATATTTATCTCCTTATTTTCAGTCGAGACAACAGAAGTCCCAGAAGTCATAGAAGACACCACGATACTTCCAGTTCAGATCGAAGAAAGTTTACCCACTCAGATTTCAACAAATCAAAATGAAACAATTTCTGAGCATACTGTAGAGAATCCCAAGGCGGATATACCTGATCCTGCTGTTTTCGCCCAGTCCAGTGCAGCTGAAGTGCAGGATAGCTTTGTGTCTGTCTATGGCGGTAACCTGGAACAGGATATCAAAAACGACGTCAACATTGAGGTGGAGGAGGCACCCTCTCCAGCGGAAACACTAAAGGAAACTGCTTCAAAGGTGGCAGAGGTTGCAGTCGTGGAAACTGACAATCATGAGACTCAATGTAAGTACTTAATATTTTATTTTTGTCACCTGAATTTATAATAATCTACTTCTTCCTTAGCTGCCGTCCAAAATGCACGTGAACCCAAAACTCTGGAGACCCAGGACGAGGAGGGAAAGCCTGCGCCGGAGGACCAAGCGGAACCGGAGGCAGTGACGGACAACATTGCCGTGGCCAGTGAGCAAGTGGAAAGTCGGAGCAGCAGCAGGCCATTGCCCAAGGAGACCAGTGACCTGGTCTCTGTGATCCTCAACGAAGATCGAGCCATCACCGAACAGCCCATAACTAAGACCAATCTTCTGGCCTTGGAGCAAGAGCACAAGGCTGTCACGAGTGAGGATATCGGCACTCCAGAACCCACTTACGAAGAGCCCAAGCACCAGGTGACCAAAAAACAGGGTGTGGAGGATCTGCTGCCTATTGAAGTGGCTCCTGAAGTAGTGGACGAGCCAGAAACTGCCCGCGAGGAACGCCAGTTCGAGGAGCCCAATTCGAACCTGAATGAGATCGATGGTAGCAACTCAGAGGATGAAAAGGCGATTCCCACCACTTTCTTCAAGTCTGCTGGTGAGCTTCAAGAACAGATTGAAAAGAAGTCCGAGGAGGAGGCCAAGGCGGAAATAGAGAAGGAATTGGAAGGCACAGCTCCACCACAGGAGACAGTTGTGGAGGCTGCAGACTCTGAGGATTCACAACCTGGCGAGGAGGAGGTTGTTCTTGGAACCACAGAGAAGAGTGTTTCTGAAGAGACAAACCCAATAAAAGAGGAACAAAAGGAAGATGAAGACAAGGAAGAGGAGATCAAGGAAAAAGAGCTCAAGGAAGAGCAGATCAAGGAAGCGGAATTCAAAGAAGAGGTGCTAAATAAAGAGGAGCCTAAGGAAGACCAGCTCAAGGAAGACCAGCTCAAAGAAGAGGAACCTAAGGAGAAGGAACCCGAAGTAGAGAAACCCAAAGACGAGCAGCTGAAAGAAGAGGAACTGAAGGAAGTGGAAACTAAGGAAGAGGAGCCACAGGAAGAAGTTACCATTCATCAAATTGACTCTGAAGAGCCCATCATTCTAGCAAGTCCCAGCTCCACTCAGAAACCAGTGGAGGAGAATGTACCACTAAAACCTGACGGGGAATCTGTTGAGGATAAGGACGAAGAACCGAAATCTCTCGAGGATAAGGAGAAAGATCCAGAATCATTGGAGCACAAGGAAGACAAAGACGAGTCCAACTCAGACTCCTCGGAGGAGACACAGGAGCCTGCTGCGGATGAAGCCAAGCCGTCCTCCTCCGATGACAGTACAGCCACTCCGCTAGTCTCCTATCCCCCTCATGATGCGGGCCAGACTTTCGATAGCAACTCGGCGGACGAGCACTCTGCCCAACTCTCGGGTCCCTCAAACTATAGGTCAACCTTGATCATCGCCCTGTGCTCCGGCACCGCGGTGATCTTCATCGTGGCCTCCCTGGTCATCTTTGTGGTCTCCTTCCAGCGACAGCACGGCACACTGGACATTGAGATGCAGGAGCAGCGCCTGGGCAAGGACGATCGCGACGAGGAGGATGCCCAGGTGAAACTTCTCGAAGTGGACCTATCGACGCCCGTCATTGTGTCGCTGGGCAACGAGGAGACCGACGAATGCCTGTAGGCTCTCTCTCAGCACTGAAAAGAGGATTACCTTGGAGATCCTTGGGGGTCCTTTGGACCTCCTTGACCCCCGGTGCACTGTAAATAGCTATTGACCCTGATATTTCGACAAAGACTTGTTCACTTTGGTATCTAAATTGTTGACTGAGAGCAGCTGCAAGCAAATCGAACGAAAATCGAATCGAAACGACATCATTTGCCATACTGTTTAATTTTAAACGCACTCTAGCCCCTAAGATTTGCAAATGCTCCACAAATATTTATGTTTAGACATTTTCATTAGAGTTAGGAACCTTTTTCATTGTGTCTGATAAGAAGTCAGAATAAATATTTTCAAATGGTAAAAATGTTGTTTTATTTTATTTGATTATTTATTTATCTTTTTGGGTTTAAAAAATAGTAAAGTTATTTAGGGAAATCTTTCTTAAGGATTTTGGGATAAGTGGCATACTTTTTGGCGTGGTTCATTTGTAGGCACCATACTCTATATCTAAATTGGAAAGAAGTCGATTAAATCTGTTTCTGTCAACATCTCATAACATCTGCAACGCCGGATGTTGCACCTCTAAAGAGTTTCTGACTTTTATGTTTATGACTTAGGATAATGTCATTGACTACTTAGTGGCTTTTCACAACCACTGCCAAGTCAATATAAGTTAAAAACAAATGTCCAATAACAACGCGAAATTATTGCCAGACAACAGAATAAATAGGAACCTTTTCTGGCAGAATTCAACAGTTCCGGCTTATATCTCACCATGGAATCATCAAGGGTTTTCCTGCTCCTCATCGGGATCTGCTGTGTAAGCCTCGTCAGACAGGCCCACTCGGAGTGCTGCACTTCTCGTGCAGATTTATGGTTTACGATGGATAATGGAAGTTGCGACATGGTGGGTGCGAAATCAGCAATATCCGGTGTGTGTACAGTTGGCGTCTGTGCAGATGGGACGCCCGTTTTGGGCCGCTTTTGTGGACGAGGAAAATGCAACATCTTCGGCTGCAACTGCGACGGCGGATGTCGCACCGGAGACTACGGAGATAGCTTCAAGGAAAGGAATCGAAAGCACAGAATAAATATTGATAACACTTTCTATTTTAAATATTAACAAATACGTCTGTAAATCTGTTAGAATAAATGTTAAGCTATGAAAAACCAAAACAAATTAAATTTTGTTTACGGCAAATAACAATTTTTTTCCAACCTTTTACGATTTTATTTACCATCAAAATTTTAGTGCAAATTAATATATTTGCCTTACACAAGCTTAATACTTTACTAAAGTACGTAAAGACCGAAAAATTATTGCCTGAAAACAGTATTTAAATAGGAATGTCTCCTGGCAGAATTCAACAGTTCCGGCTTATATCTCGACATGGAATCATCAAAGGTTTTCCTGCTCCTCATCGGGATCTGCTGTGTAAGCTTAATCGGACAGGCACATTCGGAGTGCTGCAGGACAAGCATAGCGAATATCTGTCCAGATGGGACGCTCGTTAAGGGCCAATATTGTGGACGAGGTAAATGCAACATCTTCGGCTGCAACTGCGACGGCGGATGTCGCACCGGAGACTACGGAGGTTACTTTGGGAAATGAATCGGAAGCACGGAATAAATATTAGTAACACTTCCTATTCTAAATATTAACAAATACGTCTGTAAATCTGTTACAATAAATGCGATGCTACGAAAAAAAAAGGTGTGTCATATATAGACATGCTGCGCCTTCTAAGCTTGCCTTCTGTTAAGGATCGTCGGACCTGCCACGGAAATATTTCAATTTGCTAAAATGTAATAGACCGTTGTGCAATAATTGCACTGTATATCTCTATGCCTTTTTTATACAGAAATTTCTATAGATCAAGCACAAAATATATTTACAGACATTTGTTTCGTCAAAACTTTTCAAACCAAAACAAATTAAGTTTTGTTTATGGCGAATTTGTTTCCCAACTTTTTACGAACTTATTTACCATACTAATTTACACAAGCTTAATATTCTTCTTAAAGTACGTAAAGCCTGCAAAATTATTGCCTGAAAACAGTATTTAAATAGGAATGACTCCTGGCAGAATTTAACAGTTCCGGCTTATATCTTACCATGGAATCATCAAGGGTTTTCCTGCTCCTCATCGGGATCTGCTGTGTAGGCCTCGTCAGACAGGCACATTCACAGTGCTGCACTCTTCGTGCATTTATCACATTTAAGATGGATAAAGGACGTTGCTACATGGTGGGTGCGAAATCGCTAGGATACGGTGCGTGCAAAGTTGACGTCTGTGCAGATGGGACGGCCGCTAAGGGCCGCTTTTGTGGTAAATGCGACAAATTCGGCTGCAACTGCGTGGGCGAATGTCGCACCGGAGACTACGAACATAGCTTCTTGGAAAAGTATCAGAAGCATGGAATAACAATTTTTGAAAGTTACCATGCTACTTATGAATAAATGCCCCTGTAAATCTATTAAAATAAATGCTATGCTACGCAATAACTTTACTAAGACTTCTATCCTTGCCTCTGCCCACTTGATGTGAGCATATCGTTCAAAATCACTACCTATCCGGTCAGAGGCAAGGATATGGATTTTAATGACAGTAATTTGCTATTTTTGGAAATATATATATATAAATAAATAAATACATACTAATTGGGTTCGCGGTTTTCTCTAGAGTTTGGTGCCAAACGAGAATGCAACAGGCAAATGTAAATTTATCAGCATCACCATTCGAGTAATCTAAGTCCGTATCAGAGACTTTGCAATGGTATGGTGGGTGTTGTGGAGAGAGCAGCTGTATCGTAAGGAACTATGCGGATGGGGTAGCTATTGTGGACTTGGTCCATGCAACATGTTCGGCTTTTATACAATATTAGTCAATATGCTTTGTTGCTATAAAGCCAGAATTTGGACTTTGAAGTACCATTAAAGATTTTTCGTAGTAAAAATAATTATTTTTATTAAAGCAAATATTGCACTATATCATCTTTATGCCTTTTTCAAAGGATTACTATATTATTACAGGATTACAGATATTTGTATTGTCAAAACTTTTCAAACCCAAAACAAATTAACTAATTTTTCTCCAACTTATTACCCATCAAATTTATAATGTAAATTAATATATGTATTTACCGTGCACAAGCTTAATATTTTTCCAAAGTACGTAAAGGCCGCTGAACTATTGCCAGATAACAGTACATAAGTAGGAATGACTCCTATTTAGTTTTTAAAGTTCTATTAAAGGTGTTTCGGAAATATATAAATTTACTTAAATGTAATAAACTTTTAAAGTTTACAGACACTGCTAGGGTACAAGTTAAATAATTATGCTAGATAATTGTATTGTCAAGCCCCTTCAAACCAAAAAAATGACCATAAACAAAGGCAAAAACGATAAATTTTAACCAACTAAGAACTACATTAATCGTGCGGTTTATTGTATTTTCTAATCACAGGTATTTGTATAAACAGTATAAATAGGAATATCTCCTGACAGAATTCATCAGTTGCGGCTAATATCTCACCATGGAATCATCAAGGGTCCTCCTGCTCCTCATCGGGATCTGCTGTGCAAGCCTCATCAGTCAGGCATATGCTGAGTGCTGCAAATCTCGTCAAATAGTTTTTTTTAAGGCTTCAAACGAAACTTGCAAAGCGGTGGGTGCAGTTCACGAGTCTCAAGCAAAGTGTAAAGTTGTCATCTGTGCGGATGGATCGCCCTACAACTATAAAAACTTTTGTGGACGAAGTCGATGCGACAGCTTTGGCTGCAACTGCGAATGTCGCACCGGGAAATATTACAGAACCTTCTTGGAAAAGAATCGGAACCATCAAATTAATGTGACGAATGCTTGGTCTTTGGATTTTAGAGGCGGATAAATTATACAAAATTCTAATAAATAAATGCTAAAATGTATTACAGCATTGTACTCGACGTGTACTGTGCAATAATTGCTGTACAAGTTATTGGTTAAAGTCAAAAACAATTTATAGATATTTTGTCAGAATCCCAAATAAAGTAACTTTGGTTTATGGCGAATAACTATATTTTATTACCATTTTTTGCCATCAAATCGATCATGCAATTTAATATATATATTATTGCCAGAAAACAGTCTATAAATAGGTATGTATATCACCTGTCTATTTAGTACAATGACATCATCTAGGGTTTTCCTGTTCTTCATCGGTGTGGGGTACCTTCGTACGATGGGCAACGGCGGCTGTCGTACCTGTGGCTGGACCAGGAGCTGGTTACAAAGGAATAGAGACTAGGATTTCCCCTTCCAAGTTAAAATATCAGCAACAGAAAGTCTCACTATGCTGCAGGTTTTAATTCTAAAGAGCCAACAAATGCCATTGTCAACAAGGTTTGTGGGTTGGGATTTGGGAAGTGTGCCAATGGGTGTAATGCAACGACATGGATGACGGATATATCTAGCTGAACTCGGAGCCAAACTTCTTCTTGAGCCCGGCATTGGCCACGCGTCCTTTAAGCGAACGCACTGCCAGGTTGGGCAGGCAACCGCGTTTCTGGAGGTCATCCAGTTTCACGGTGATCACAGTATCGATCTCCTTCTGGCGCTGCGCCTCCGCTGCCTTCTCCCGTTCGATGGCCAGACGCTCATCATCCAGCTCCCGGCGACGGGCCTTCTCCCGCTCCTCAATTTGGCAGGTGACGCCCGTGCGCAGGCAGTGTTTCTTGAGTGCCGCTTCGGCGGCCTCGCGCTTCACCTGCTCCTCGTACTTGGCCCGGTACTCGATCATTTCCTTGATCTCACGCTCCCGCTGGACGTAGAAGCAGGCCTTCATCTGGCTGAGGTGCTCCATTTGCTCCAAGTTGGCCCTCTTGAGGTCGGCGGCCATACGGCGCTCTTTCTCGGCAGCCTTGCGCTCGTTCTCCCTGTACTTGCGCTCCAAGCGCTCGACCTCGGCGAGATAGTGCATCTCCTCACGATTGCCCTTGGCGTCGAGGGTCTTTTGGCCCACAGCGAAGAGGACATTGCGCTTCCGCTGCACATCCGCCTCGATGGCCTCGCGTTCGGTCCTCTGTTCGCGCAGCTGCTTCTCCTTGAGCTTCTGGTACTCATAGGCACGGATCTCGTCCCGCCTATCCTGCTCGCACATCATGCGAACAAAGTTCTTGTGTAGATTTATGTATGTGTTGAGCTCCTCGCGGTAGGCCACCTTTCGCTTGGACCGGGACTCCACCTCGGCGGCCTCGGCCTTCTTAATCTCATCGATGCAGGCGCGCAGCTCGCGGGCATCCGCCCGGAGGCGATCCTGGGCCATGAACCTGAGCTGCTCCCGGTCCTTGATCTGTTCCCGCACAGCCATGCCAAACTGCTTGCGCCGCTCCTCCTCCTTCTGGTCCTTCTTCTCGACAGTGCCCCACTTGGAGTTATTGTACAGCAAATTCTTGCGAGCCATCTCCTCGTCGTGGTCGCTTTGGATGCGATCGAGGAGCTTTCGCTCCTGGATCTGAGCCGTCCACATGGCACTGCACTTGGCCTCGGAGATGGCTCGTGTGGCTTCCTTGACCCGCACATCAGACTCGTACTTGGCGTTCAGGGCCCGGTGGAGCACCTGCAGCCTCTTGGCCTCCACCTTGCGGTCTTCGTCGACATCTTCGTCCGCCTCGGCGTCGTGTTTTATCTGGGCCTCGCGTTCTTTTTCGCGACGCTGCTCGTCAATGTCGTGGAAATAGATACGCATCCGTTCCGCCTCGGCGGTCTGGTACCGCTGCTCCTCTAGCTGGCGCTCCTGCTCGGCTCGCCGCTCTTCGACAGTCGGTGGCCGCCAGGCCCGCATCCGATCTAGGTCGTTCTTAGAGAGCTCGGCGTAACCCTTTGATTCCCACGGCTGACCCTTGATGTGAAAGAACGTGGCCTTGGCTCCGTCGTAATTACGAGCCCGAGGTGGTGCCTTACCGCCGCCAGTTCTGTGTCCTGGCTGGGGTCCTGGCAGGGGTCTCGGTGGTATGGTTCCCGGCGGCAGGGGTCTTCTTTGATTCTTCGGTTTCACTGGCTTATCCCGGCGAACACCGCATGGTTCGTCCTTTACTATATAAGTGGGAGGTGGCGGCTCCAGGTAGATGGGTCTCTTGGCGCGATCATAGCAATCCGGATGGAGCTTCAAGGCGGCCCGAGCGCGACAACCCAGGACCATGGGCATCTTGGTGAAACGAGAGGGTAATGGGTAGGGAAATCAGTAGGATAAATGCTGGAAAATATAGCAATAGCTGATTTTTTCCGAGCAATATTCGAGTCTTGTTCTGTTAGTGTTGCTTGTTTGTTTCGGTTATCCCAATATGACAGGTTGAACTTATTTGAAACAGGCTTAAGGCCTGCTAGGAGATACAAACAACTTAATTTTTTTTATTTAAATAAATATTTGTTTATTTATAAATTTATTCATTCACAATAATTGTTAGAACTTCCTATTTTGTCAAATGGCCGCCTCTAACTGAACCCCACTCGACATTGGCTGCCTAAAGGTTAACCAGAAATGATTTATACTTAAATGTATATACAGATAGACCCGTAGTGCAAGTCCGCCTAATTGCATGTCAGGCCGGCGTATTGATCAAAAGCTCATTTGCCACTGCGGGCGGCTGGCTTCAAAGTCGATTTTTAATTAGTTCATAATGTCGAGAGCGGCGCGATCTCTGCTCGGTTCTGCTCTCTCGGCAAGCTTGCAACATAATAAATAAGAGGAGCATATATTGAACTCCCCAATCGGTGGCTGCCATGGCACTCCCATAATTTTAGACGCCAACGAGAATGCCTTCCCTCACCGTTTTCGTTCCGCTTTTCATCGGAAAATTGAGTGGTCGCTTCTGTGTGTAAATGGGCTAAACGAGCAGAGTGAAAATGAAATAAACAAAACGATTTTGAGATTAAGAGTTCGTCCATTCGGATATGGGTTTGTTTACGCGGGATTATGCAACCGCCCGCACAGTGGTCTCCGGTTTCTTGACTCCCTTTTTTTTATTTTTTTCTTAAAGAGTCAATTTAAAAGCAATAAAATACCAATTGACAGCATAATTTTCCACAATTCCATCGAACTCAATTGCAAAACTCTTTCGGGGAACGCGGAACCTAATGCCACAAAGACATTGTCATTGTCCCAGCTCAACTTGGGCTGACATCTAAGCCAGCATTGTAATCTTTGGGGGGATTAGGTTGCACTCCATGGAGGATGAGCAGCCACTGTGTACCCGAAGACGAGACTTTTCCCTATTTTCTTCCGGATTGAGGAGGAATTTTTGTTTTGTCTGGCGATTGTCTAAGGCTAAAGCTCTCGCTCACGCGCCTTTCGCCACTCAGCTGTTCCGCTTTTCCGACTTTTTTTCTAAGCATTTTTCCTCTCTTTTTGGTCTCTTTTGCTCTCACTCTCACTCTCGCTAGCTGCTGTATGTTGTGTGTGGTGGGTGTGCGAGCGCTTTTTTCATCTGCCACACACACATGGAAGTTTTTTGAAAAAACAAAATAGCAACATGAAAAAGTTTTTCAGTTTGCTTGTTGCTTTGCCCGCGTGCGGTTCGGCCAGAAATTCGCTCTTGATTCGATTTACCGCGAGTGTGTGTGAAACCGCCACAGGTAGAAGATTCTTCAGAGAAATCCACTGCTATTTTGGACAGCTGTGCAAACTCGAGAAAATAAATATATGGTACCCTGCGTATACGTAACGTCTTGTCAGCACGTCACTCAGCCGCAGTGTGGGCCAACATTCAGCTGCATTCATTCTGCAAATGCCGTGAACGATTTCAAATTTGTACAGTGTGCACCGTAAAAGTTTTCAAATTTGTTTGCACCGTGAAATATTTGTAAATTTGTCTTCCCAAGGTGCGCATCCAATTCAATTTTTGAATTTTCCACCACATTCGTCGAATATACATATAACGAACTAAATAAACAGGCATGGCTAAACACACAGAGCGGAAATTGTGGGCGAATAAATATTTAAAGTGATCATAATAACTAATTGGGAATAAACTTAAAACAGACAAAGTATTTGGGAATAAACTTAAAGCTGGCAAAATGTTAAGAGAGTTTACAAGCCCTTATAAAGTGATAAAAACCTAAGCAATATAGTAACAAAATATATATAAAATAAAGCTTAAGAACCACGTTTATAATATTCCTTAAATATAACCTATAAATGCTACCCATCTTTGCTTTGCTTTAAATATATTAATGCAAACATTAGCTTAGCTCTTTAATCTTAATCTCCTCTAAAAAAACCCCTGACTTTTTTCTCCGAGTGTCTGTTTATATGCTGGCGGTGTTCTTGTATGTTTTTCTTTCCTCTTTTTTTTTTGGCAACTGTGTTTAACCATGTTCTGTGGGTGAGTCAGCGGCTTCTTCTTGGTCGCGGTCAGGGCAAAATAAAACCAAAAGCAATGCATTTCATAGACACACAACAAATGCGAGGAGCACCTCGCTCCCAATTCACCCAACAAATGTTCCCCAATTAGAAACGTAAACAAAAGGCCGAATATAATCCGTAGGCAGGTATAGGAATTCGTGTTATTATCCATCCATTTGAGGCGTTTTCTTTCCCAGTGATATAATAAAGACAGATATCTAAATACGAGGGCAAGCGGCCAGTTGGCAGGACCAGCAGATTACACACATTATGAGCCCGATTCGGTTCTTGGCAGCATGCACAGCATGCAAATATATAGTACAAATAGATGCACATATCGCCGAGTGCTCAATAACTAGAGCAGCAGCAGCATCATCATCTCGTTTTTGGTGCCAAAGTCAGGCGGATAATTGCCAGCCGGAGGCGGATCACAGGGCCACTTGCCACTTTCACATATATTACATGGCCTAGGCAGCCCCCGCACATTATTGAAATTTGCTTAACCTTTTTTTGACGACGATTCAGTAGTGGCCTCTCGCAAACCATATTCATTTCGCTGGCAAACGCTTTTGTGGGCTGCGGTGACTTTGGCACATTGTTGCGTGAATGTGGATTGTTTACTGGGATGTGAGGGATGTGGGGCGTTTGATTCGCCATTTCTGACGCCAATACGTTAACAATAAGAAACATCATAAATTACCTCTAATGGTCCGCGTAACGCCCAGGCGGGAAATTGTTTTTGAATCGCTCAATTGAAAGTGAATTAAATAATTTCTTGGTCAGCGGCAAATATATATGTTAATCAAACTGGCTTTGGCACACAAATTGTTTGCAAAAAACAATTGTTTTCGCACAAAAAATTAGCTCTTTTTATTGACAGTTTGTCAGGGCACGCGATGTGCTTGATGGGATATCAATTATTACACTGGAAAACATTAAATTTGGTTTTGTTGGAATTATAAGGTTAGGAAAATATATAGAATATAAAGTTATACATTGTTGTTTGCAATTTACTATAATAAAAAGAAACTTGGAAATATAGGCAGAATTTCCTATAAAAATGTAATGCACCTTTTTTTTAATTCCACTTAAAAACATAAAGATAGAAAATAAACAATTAAAAACAAGCATTTGCCATGTTTTAATCTATTTTAAATTGCCGAATTCGACCTACTGCTCCTTAGGTCTTATTTTTTACTGAAAATTCTAAGTTTATTGAGGACTTTTAAGTCATTTCCCAGTAAAAGTTGTTTTATTTTATATTTATACAAATATTATATTATATTTTAAACAATTTAAACTCACATTTCAAGTAATAAACTGTTCTTATCAATTAGTTTTGAGGGCCATCTGCCAAGCTCTCGTAGCGCCTCCCTTTGAGGTGCTTTATTAGGCATTAGCTTGGAATAAAATCAGCATTATCATTAGCATTTGGAAAAACTTGGGCAACTTGGGCAACCACCTCGGAAGCCCGACGCCCACGCTTGGTGACTTCCACCATGATGCGGCATGACTCGCACGGGGTCTGGCTTTTACGCTTCACTAATTAAAGCAGCAATTAAATATATATTTTGTTAAACTACGAAACAAAGACAAAATGAAAAAAAATAGTTGCCAAATTGGCGTTTTCCAAAAAAAGACTGAAAGAAATCCCAATTGAATTGGGATTCGGATTCGGATTCGTATTCGGGCGGAAGTTATAAATTCCTAAGCGGTCTGATATCATTCCTATTTATATACAAATGTCGCCGCCGGATGAGTTATTACCCTTGGGAATGGGGATTGGACTAGAAGTTGGTCACTGCACGGCATACCAATTAGAAGAAAGCGCCAGCAGGGCAACACCCTTTGCCACGAGCCACTCCCTCCAAGTAGGTGCAACAGCATGTCCAAAGACGAAGCCACAGACACTTTCCACGTTTCGGTCATTAACCGGAAAAGTGCATCGCACAGACAACTGGCCATTAAAGAGGCTGCCTCCCCCCTCCTCAACCCGAGATCATTAATTGCAACCATTTGATTTGTTTACACCCAAAAAGAACACACGGAAGCCACAACAATTCGCGAAAAGTGCACAAGTGCAGGCAAACACAAACAATTCGCCGGGTTCCGGGCCAAGATCCCAGTTCCACGCGGATTCGGAATCGGAACGGGAGTACATCGAGGGAAATTTTTAAGTGCAAATAAAAACAATGACGACAGCCAAATGGATTTGGCGCTTGGCGCTCAGCATCTTCTTGGGTGAGTACCACAGTCGCCACACGGCTAGTATGTTATTTTAAGGCCTACCCGATGTTGGTTTTATGGACTTTTGATCGATTTACGTTATTTTCGGCGAACAAACGATTCGCACATGGGCCAAGGGAACTTGAATTCTCAAGACTTGCCAACTAGAATTAGAATTCCGCACAGTGCGTCACAAAAGTATGCAAAAGGCAGCCGCCTGTGATGGCATAATGTTTATTTTTACAAATGCAAACTCAGCTGTGTCAGCTGGACGCCTCTCCTGCTGGTCTGTCTTTGGTTTTTTTTATCTCGTATATTTCGTTTAAATCACATTAACTAATTTCGCCAAGATGAGTATGCGGCTATTAACATGAAAATTAATTTTCGAATATTCCACTTCAACAAAAGAGGCAAAGATAAACAAGGAAGCCTGAGGGAAGCATGGCCATGGTGAAGAGGGAATACTCTTAGAAAATCATACTTAGTCTGTAAATAAAGAAAAAAGTATTAAATAGTAAAAAAATAGTTTTAATAAAATATCCAACGTTTAAGATGTTTAAATTTGAATGTTTGTAAACTAAACTGAAGCTGAGTAAACTTGGAATGATTCCAATCATACAAATTCCAGTCATAGAACTAAATAAAACATTCCCATAAACATTTCCTATATCTTGCCCTTTAATTTTCCCATTTCAGGGTCAATGGCTTACTAA